GACAAACATGTTGACGTAACGTACATAATATCTATATTTATCAGTGCAGGCTGTCATTCTGCAAACTGAAAAAAAAATGTATCATCTTATGTCATAAAAGGTTGGCAATCGTAATTTCCTATGTCAGTAAGTCTGTCTGTTAGCATAAAATCTCATTAACCACTGAGTGGATTTTAATGACATTTTCATAAAGTGATAACTGAATAAACATCTACAACTCATTACCTTTTACAGTCAGTTCCTTTCAAGATGGCCACCCCAGGTATTCAATCTTAAACTCAAAAATGGCTGTAACTCAGCAATTTTTATAAATGCTGAGCTAAAATTTGGCGTGGAAGTAGCTGAGAGTCATCCCAAACATATATTCAGAGAACCAACTGATTGCATGAGAATTTTGTTTTTGGAGTTGAGCGTTGTTAGCACAATATATTATGAACAACTGGAAAAGGTTTACCAAAACTCTAGGAAAGTAATCACTGGCTGTGCGTCTATAACTCATTAACGTCTGGAGTCAACTTGAGTCTAACAGCCTCAGGGTAGAAGCTGTTCCTCAGTCTAGTGGTTCTCCGCTTAATGCTCCTCAACCTCCTTCCTGAGGGGAGCGGGGCAAAAAAGCGTGTGTGTTGGGTGAGTGGGGTCCTTCATGATGCAGGTGGCTCTCTTCCTGCATCTGGAGGTGTAGATGTCTGTGATTATTGCAGCATGACCAGTATTTCCCTTTTCTTTTCTCGCATAACGCAGTCGTTGTTATTTATTGTTTGTTACGTTTCAAAATGTCCAAAATAAAAACAAAAAAAAAAGTCTGGAGAACTGTTGATCAACACAACCAGAAAAGAAAGGAAAAAAAAAAACATCCGAATGCTAAATTTAAAAAACAATGGGGTGGTTTAAGACTTTTTATGTAACTCTTCATACTTTTTTTATTATTCTGGCGCCTGTTAGAAATAAATGGTAAAGCTCGTACAAACTGCAACAGCCAACACATCTGCATGAGTCGGCAGAGAGAGAAAAGTTAACTGTGGCTGGGATTTTAATGTGTCGCCTGAAAGACTGAAGCTGTGTTAGCGCCTGTACGGAGCAGAAACAGACGGCAGCGTTTGTTGACTGATGGGAGTCCATGTTGACGGGGAACTCTGTTTGGTTTGGCAGGATGGAAACACAAACTGCCATTCCTCAGGTGAAACCATGTGAGAGCCCCATCCTTCAGTGTTTCTGCAAACAGCTTGTGCAGACCTCTCTGCATCTAAACTCTCAGTCCTTCACTTGTTGCAAGAGCTTACAACTTGAGGTAGTTACACTCATAATGTCATAACTTGTTCTTATAATACAAAAATGAATAAAACTTCTCCCCCTGGTCTGTTTCAGTTTTAATAAAACTGCATCGTTACAGAGCCGTGTTCCAGACACACCAGACCTGTGTTTGTATGGCGTCAGAAACGTTAGCACTTTAGTTTTACCAGCATTTTGGTTTTCAAAGCACTGCAGTAAGAATTTTATTTCAAGTTCAAAGGCTGAACAGGCTGATGACACGTTTACCAACAAAAACCAGGGCATTACCCCCACAGACCGCGGCTGAAACACTGTCATCAAGCAAGACTTTCCTATAAATCTTTTGAGTTTCGTGGGGGAGGATAACAGCCCGCCTTTAAACTGAAAGGCAGCTTTAAAGACAATTGTCTTAATGATATGTCTGAGACTGAACGTTCAAGTCATGAGCTCCGTGTTTGTCGCCCACCCATTCCAGGCCCTCTTATGACAGAAAGACAGAGAAACGAGCCACACTGGGCAGAAAAAGGCAAGTCGCTACCTGTGAGGAGAGGACGGAGAGAGGAATGAAAAAGACGAGAACGGACGTCCACTTCTGGACTGGTTCACATGGGAGAAAAAAATATTTTACATCTCTTATTTCTAAAATAAAATTTAAAAATTTAAAAAACGCAGAAACACGGCACCGTTTCTAGGGATGTTCTCATCCACACAGAAACGCAAAAAACTCCAGCATTGTAGTAACTGTGCTAGGCCTGTATGTGGCGCTGTAACGCTGCTACAAAAACCCACCAGAAACAGTTACACAACAAGTTAACAATGAGAAATAAAAGAGCAAAAATCATCAACATATGTAATGCATAGACACAGGACAGGAAGAGGGAAGTTGAAGCCACAGATTGAGCGTCATCTGGTGGCTGGTTCCAGTGCAGGTTTTAAGTCCCACCCCCTCATGTAAACGGATGGGACATCTTTTTGTATTGAACGTTTTTTGAGGACATCTTCCTGAAAATTAAAAAAAAAAAAAAAACTCAGTCTGTAAATTTTTTCACATACAGTAATTATTTTCTTATCTTATCTTTTATCAGCTTCAGCTACAGGCAGGAGGTGGAACACCTGGAGAGCTGGTGCAGGAAGAACAATCATCAATGTGAAGAAGACGAAGGAGATGGTCGTGGACTTCATACGGAGCAACACCCCCCACCCACCCCCCACCCCCCAGGATCTGCGGTGGAACTGGTCTCCAGCTACAAATACTTGAGTGTGCACCTGAATGGCAACCTCAGCTGGGGCAACAACACCACCAGCCTGATCAAGAAAGCTCATCAGAGACTGTACTTCCTCCGGCGGCTGAGACGAACTGGTCTGGGAAGCTCAGTCCTCACCTCCTACAGGTGTGCAGTGGAGAGCATCCTGTGCTCCAGCCTCAATGTGTGGCATGGAGGCTGCACAGCTGCAGAAAGAAAAGCTCTGCAGAAAGTGGCGAAGGCTGCACAGAAGTCTGTTGGAGTCAGCCTCCCCACCATCACAGACATCTACACCTCCAGATGCAGGAAGAGGGCCACCTGCATCATGAAGGACCCCACTCACCCAGCACACACACTTTTTGCCCCACTCTTCTCAGGCAGGAGGTTGAGGAGTATTAAGTGGAGAACCACTAGACTGCGGAACAGCTTCTACCCTGAAGCTGTTAGACTCATGAATCTCTAACAAGGATAATCACTGTGGTGTCACTTGATTGTTGATATGTGCTGCTGGCTATCCATGTTGCTGATCTTATGATGCTGATTTACTGTATTTCATGCTGCTGTGTTCGTTTGTACTCATCTGCTCACACAGACTCATGCTTGTGCTGCTGTTCGGCATATTGTATTTGTACTACTAGTGCTTAGAGTATTTTTAGCTTAGTATATTTCTGAGTTCATATCTTAGATCTTATTACTGTTTTCTTTACAATTTATACTTTTGTTGGATGTAACTGGGACCCTGTGTACACAATTTTGTTCCACCACATGCACCACATGTGGTGCGAAAGACAAATTAAGAAACTTTGACTTGATCTTGTTACTGTATACTCAAATGTACTTTTTTTTCATACTGTATCTTAGTGTCTTTAGCTTTAATAAGTTACTTAAGGTCTAAATAAACAGGCCATGATACCCTGTGATTGACAGCCTGTTAGCGAGTTGGGAGGCGGGACCTTAGTGTATCTGACATCATCAGTGTGAACATGCTGGCTCCAAAAATACATGAAGACACCCAATAAACTTTTGTTGTTGTTTGTTTTTGGGGGGGCTCCAATTTTGAACAATAGGAGAAGGCAGAGGCACTTTGTTCATCTTTAATAATGTTGACAGCACAATTAAAAACAAATTGTGCAATAGGAACAAAGTGGGCCTAGGCCTGTCACGATAACAAATTTTGCTGGGCAATTAATTGTCTCAGAAATTATTGAGATAAACGATAATATTGTTTGAAATTTGACAATAATTAGTAAGAGAATGATTAGAGAAGAAACAATAAATCCGATAAATGAAAATGAGGTAGATAATTTTCATTTATCATGCATGCATAATTGATTTATTGTTTATCGCAACAGGCCTAGTTATAGGTGGGTAGGGACGCACGATATTATCGGCATGGTATCAGTATCGGCCCATGTTAGCAATAAAGTTAAATATCAGACATCGGCCATTACATCAAAATAACTCACCAATATAAAAGGCTTCTGTTTTAAGTTAATTTTTAATTCAAGACACTATCAAGTATATCTATTAATGCACTACTACGTATGTGCTTTTCACTTGTCGCTTGTGAACAGGTTAAGTTTAGATATGTGAAAATGTACCAGTTTACACTGTTCGAGTGTTGTCATTGTGTTAGAATAAATGTCATGAGTAACTGTGATATTAAACATAACCCAAGTGTTATATAACTTTCAGCACCCTTTTTAGCATCTGTATTTGGTAGCAGGCCAAACTGACAAAGACCATGCAGAATAATGTAGTTTTTTAATTCCACTGCAAAGAAAGCTGTAGTCTCTGCAAGTAGGTCTAGGGGAAAAAATATCGGTATTGGTATCAGTTATTGGCCAAATAAAAGTTTTAACATATCAGCATATCGGCCACAAATCCAATATTGTGCATCCCTAGTTATAGGGGTTTCTAAAATGCTGTTTTCATGTGAACACAAATCAGCAGATCTGCTATCAGCAGAGAGAAACGAGTCACCCCCGGCAGAAAAGGGCAAGTCACTACCTGTAAGGAGAGGACTGACAGGAATGGAAAACAAGGACAGGGATGGACGTCCGCTTCAGTCTGTCTAAAAGACTCATCTATAATGAGTTAAATGCACAAGACAGATTTATTCCATGATAGGATGTAAAACACTGGGACAACTTTGAACTAAAACAAAAAGCAAATGGTAAAACTCCACTCACATCCCTGACAGGCATTTCCCTCCACTACAGAAACATTCAGCATATCTAATGTGAAGATCAGATGGAGGAGGTAGATAAATGGAGGACAGACGCAGCTCTGTTTGCTCTGAAGTGGAGCCTTACACACACAAAACATCAACTCTTCCATCATTTTATCAACACAAACTCTGCGGTCGAGCTCAGAAACGCACACAAGCACCTCGCACAGACGCAGCACGTGGACCTGATAAACATATGAACTCCCGTGTGTTTACAGCGTTACAGCGGCGACGCCTAAACACGCACAAACAAGTACCTTGAAAAGAAGCCACGTTGCGTGACAGCAGCGTCTTCAGGTCGTTGCTGTACATCTGCAGCAGATTTTGGATGTCCCTGCGGGCCGCCACCTGGTACCTCTCCTCCATCTTTTTGGTGCAGCACGTCAGGTTTTTGGATGTGCACACCTGAAGGTCGGAGCCTGACAGTCCAGAAAACACACAGAACATAAAAAAATGATGAACTCAGAATAGGTTTGTTTTTAATCTAAATAAATGTTTCTGAAATCGCATACAGTAGTCCCTCGTTTATTGCAGGGGGATCTGTACCCTGAAGCCCCGCGATAAGTGAAAACCTGCAAAGTAGTAATAGTTATATATATATATATATATATATATATATATATATATATA